TTTCCCTATTTCATTTTATTATGTATCTTTATAACTCAAAGATTCTGTGCTATCAAAGCACATTAAAAAATTTGAGACTTGAACTCTCAACCCAGCTATATACTTATACTGACCACCAGGAATATGTGCACATATTGGTTACATCTGTTTATGCATCAATTTCTATATTCCAGGTACTGCACTATTTGCCTTATCATTTGTTGTCTGGTTTATTCCTGTTTCATAGATGAACAAACTGAGGTTTAGTGAGGTTAGGAACTCACTCATATTACTTAATGTTTGTTAGAAGAAGTTGAATCTAAGTGTATGATTCCAGAGAAAGGGAAAGTGAGAAAGTAAGCCACCAGCTCCAGGACTCAAACAGCAGTCGGCCATGTGAGAGTTCAATGCCTTACCCACCATGCCACCTGCCAAACCTCAGAATATGAACTCTTAACCAATAGATTTCACTGCTCATCTACAGAGCAAGATTAATAGCAGTCCTTGTTGCCAGCCTGTGGTGTGGTGACTAAGGTGCCTGGATCCACGTGACTGACTTCATGGTTCAAAAAACAGCTTGATAAAACTCACTGGGCAAGTGTGCATGCACACCCAAAATCCCAAAAGGAAGGAGAGGTGGAGAAAGGATTGCAGCATAACCATTCCCAATGGACCATTCCCAATGGGAGATGCTTGCACATGCTCGCTCGCTCGCTCTCTCTCTCTCTCTCTCCCTCTCCCTCTCTCTCCCCCCTTTCTCCAGTGAAATCCAGAATTCAGTTGCCTGAGCAGTGGACAATTCTTAACTGTCTATTTTTTCTACTTTCAGAAGTCAGGAGACAGCTGATGTAGGCAACCAGGCCCATCCAAGGGTCTTAGAATTACAAGTGAAAACATACATGTCTTAATGTTTGCCTAGCTTGTCTGCATCCACCTTCTCTATCTTTGGTATTGGTGACTGGAGAACAGTTTGATATTTATGGATTTCCTTTATAATTGCATTCTTTCCAAAATCTCTTAAAGTAATTTCTTCAAAATTAATGCACTATTTGCCTAATGCAGAACTTTCCTAGAGTGATGTGATGGTAGTGCTGATGTTAGGGTGAAATGGTGCTGATCTTGTCATTAACACAGCTTGCCAAGGAATTGCTAAATTCCCTGCCTGATACTGAATCAAAACAACTCTATCACATCATTCTACCAGCAGAGAGAAAATGTGTCCTTCTCATGTTATCACTGGGCTTTTCAGTGTACTGGGCCTATTAATAGTTTAGAATCTTCTGTTCACAGCCTGAGCTTTGCACCCTTGTCATTTCTGACCTGGTTAGATTTGCGGATTCTTACATCTGTCCTGTCCATATCATAGTAATAGGGAAACTGAGGAGAGTGCTTCCCTTTTGATTGGAGCTCTGTACCCCATTGGAGACAATGCACTTTCATTTTTCCACCCAATTGTGCAATGGAGATGGGTGAGGTTAGCTCTCCCACAGAAGAGCCAGCCCTGTGCATGTCTACCTGAGAAGCTGCAGATGGCTTTATCTGCAGGCCAATGCAGCTGATGCTGCCCTCTGGTCTTTGGTCCAGAAGCATTGTTCCCTATGTTCCCAGTTGCTTAGACTGCTCACTTGAAGCAGTTATAGTGACCTGGACATCTGGTTAAAGATGCCACAGAGAATGTTGCACAGAATACTCAGGGGATACCTCAGCTCACATGAGGCTCACATCCATTCAACAATGACTAGATCCTTTAACATTTCCTTTAACATTGTATTATATAAGAAAAGATTTTAGATGCCAAAAATAATTTACTCCTTTATCAGCAGAAATGATTTGTATTGCATAGTATAGGTTAAAAAGTATCACATAATCAAATGAAGTTGATACCTAGAGAAGGAGCCCATATGTTATACATAACATGAAGAATAAATGCATTGTTTAGTGAAATACCATCTGCAGAGCAATCAAGTGCATGCATGGAAATTGCTTTCCAAGAAGGCAGGAGAACATCCCAACTACTTTAGGGCAGTTTCTACCCACCCCCACCCTGACCTATAGATTCCAAACCCTCAACTAGCACAGATGGGATTTCCTTATGGATGAGACTGCCTTCTCTGTTGGGAGCTAATAAAAAGGATGCCCTTCTCATAGGAAGTGCCAGGCGAGTCAATTCTGATGGTTAAAAGAGACACCCAGCTAGTTCCTAGACATCATGTCATTTTGCCCACAAACTCCTTCTCTGCAAGGAAGACATTCCAAAACCCCAGTCTTGTGGGTTACAAGTATAGCCTTGTGGCTGTCCCTTCCCACAAGTCAGCCATGGGAGAATCAGGTAGATATTCTTACCATTCATGTCCAGGATGCAAAGGAAATTACTGTGTGATATCTACTTGCTGGTCATTTTCCCTCCCTACAGTAATTGTTCATGCAACTGACCACATCATATTCTCCTAAGACGTTTATCTGACTCTGGGTACTAATGGTGATAACTGTTGTCTATATTCACTGGCTTTGTCAATTCCATGCTGAAAAAAATTAGCATACTCAGTTTACTTAGAAAAAGGAAAAGAGAATGTTTCCAATTCAGTAACATACAGAATATAGAACAGCTTGACATTGGATGAACCATGGCTCACATCATTTTGTGTATTTGGATCCTTTTCTAATATAAATTTAAAACATATAAAAACATGAATTTATTATATCATATGAAAATATATTTAAATATATTTATACATGTAACTTATGCATATGTTTTAAGTATATAATATGTTATCTATTATATAATATGTAGACAAATATATATTTATATGTATATAATGTGTATAGCGATATATGTGTATATCTGTCTGTGTGTGTGTGTAAAAAAAACTTCCATGAGAATTGTAATATGCTTTCAGAATCTGCTAAGAAAATATATAGTGATTTTTTAAAAGTTTACTATAAATTAACAGATTTAAGTAAATTTGTGTTTTAGTTGATACAAACATTAGTCATGCTGTAGAGTTCTGGGAGCTCACTAAAGATGAACAGAGTATGATATACATACAGAGTTTCAATTCCCTAGTAGGTATTCTATAAGAAATTTTGCTGAATGGATGAATGAATAACTATTCCAGTGTCCATGTGGTTGTAACGTTGCATTGAAGTTAGCTCTTGATCTGGTGTGTATTTTCATGATATCATTCGAAGGTCTGACCAGAACTGCTCTGATTTTCAGAATTCTTTGGCGATCTGGATACATTGATGGGACCTCTGACCCAGCACAGCAGCATGACCAATCTTGTCCGCTATGTTCGCCAAGGACTGTGTTGGCTGCGCATCGATGCCCATTTGTTGTAGTGGGTGCTCTCCTATCTCTAGCATCACCACCCATCACTCTACCTCTACCAGCGCACCAATGGTCACTGGTGGAACTCCACTCATTTGGGGAAGTTTTCTTTGGTTATGTTTGTTTTTATGCTTCATTTGGTATCTGTGAAAATCAGAAGTCATTGTAAGCGGACACTACAACTTGAGATCAGTGTATGTTTTACTACTTAGTCATGTTTTAGTATTTGGTATGTGTTGTTCAGATCTCACCATCTCTTTGTGTTTTATGGACTAACAGTCCTTATAATATTGCTTTAAGTTCACACTACCCAAAACAAAGAATGGGAAGCACTTATGATGATGACTGGTTCCTGAGAAGTGAAACAGTGGTCTTACATATAGATGAGAACTTAGACACAAGGGACCTGCAAAGATTTTCAGCAATAGCTGTTTCCCCAAACTATCCTCTCATGTCCAGAAAAGAGCATATTTGAGAATCTATTGTTAACTTTTGTGGTCCCCACAGACTCAGTCTTCAGGTGAGAATTTTTATCATGAAAACCCACTAGTTAGGTGTCTTAGTACCATCATAAAATCAAGACTATCAAGAAAATAAATAAGCATAGCAATGCCACTCTTAAAATGATGCTATGCCACACAACCAGTGGACTTTCTTGTTAGCATCCCTTTTCTGATTCCCTACATTTTTTTTTAATGATGAGAAGGAGGGGCAACACTTACTTTGATAATTTTAAGGTGTCATCTGGCATAAATATTTTTGACGTCCATGATTTGAAGCACAAATCCTCCCTGGAGTTCTCTGTGAAAAGTTCTCCTTTGAAGGAGCTATATGGTGGATGCATGCCATAGTAGCCATCATGCCATGCTCCAGTCTTAAAGTTGAAAGGTAAGAGAAGTCTGGAAACTGTCTGACAAGGAATTCACACTTCTGCCTCCTTTATAGTGGACAAGTGGGTCCATAACTTGAAGAGTTTCTGTGTTTTACTCAAATCTATGGAAGCAAATGTCAAGTTATCACTACCTACAAGTAATAATTCCTAATGGCTTTAAAATCTGGACTTCAGTTATCCACATTTTCCATTTTACAATTTTTCTTTTTTCTACTTCCTTTTATTTTATCTTTCTTTTCCTTTTTTCAGTCTCTTTAGTTTTTGGCTGAAATACAATCACCAATTTTATTAAAGTTTGTAGTAGTGTGAACCATTCCCATGAAAATTCCAAAGAAAACTCCAAACTCTCAAAGTAGTATCTAGCTTTAAAAAAAAAATGAGTCTTGGGGTAGTGCTTTGCCCTGGAGTGTTTTGCAAGAGCCCTGAAGATTGGGAACAGGTCATCTAATTTGGAGACATATTCCCATCAGTTGTGACTATATCCCTTCCCTTCTTACAATCCTCTACATTCATTTTGTGTTCCTAACTAAACATTACAATGTAAATATCATCATCTTTGGTATTCCAGCTCACCAGAAGAATCCTCTACTTGTGGTAAACACTATCTGTGCATTAGTTACTTGTAATTACCTGCTGGTATATAATTCCATGTAGCCTTTAATCTGCTGAGTTATTGAATTCTGTTCACTGAGTTATGGCCAGATAAATAATAGATATGCACATGAAAGATGCAAACTTGTATGATTTTTAAAGTAAGTCATGCAGGTCTGTGATAGGAACAGCAGGTGATCACTCTGCACTCTTATTGTCAAGGTTAGATATATCCCCAGTTGTAAAAGTGCCAGATTTGAGCTTCACTCTGGTCATCTTTGAGTTTAAGACCCTTTGTTGTATAATAAGATTATTTAAGTTGTACTCCAATGGCCGAAGCTGTGTTGTTAATATGGCTGATGAGAGTATCCCAGCAGCTGGATCCAGCACTTTTTATGTTCCCACTGTGGTTGAGCTTTACATTTATAGTCTCAATGAACACACTTAGGCATGCACACACACACACACACACACACACACACACACACACACACACACACAGTGAAACTTGAAAGAATATTTTCTGAGCCTCTTAAATGAGGAAAATTAGAATATGGAAGACTGAACACCCAAGGTGGGTGTCTTATGCAATTTAGCTGATGACTTTGTAGTGACTCAAGTTCTCTCTTTTCCATGGCTTACCAGGTAGAATGCCTGACTATTACTATATAATGGAGCCCATGGCTTGATTTGAAAATTCAACCTAGACCACTATCCTAGATCATCATGGATTTAGGAGTAGGATCTTCTTGATGTTCAGTCTCCAGAAACTAGACATTAGAATGCTAGGGGAACTTTCCCAGGGAAACAAGCATATCACCTCACGGATGAGACTTGTAGCTCTAGTTTCAGTGACTTGCTGTTCCTACTTACATACAGCAGGGAGGCAAGTCACCTCTGGTGCCTGAGTATAAAGTGTGTGCTGAGTCAGCAGCACAATGACCAAATCTGACAGATGAGCTCTGGATCACCACCTGATTATTTAGCAGACCCATTATTTTAAAGCAGCTTAGAAACCAATTAAACATGGAGAATGAATTACTTTCCCATCCCTGGAGATAAGATGTCTTCCTTTTTCATGATTAAGCATTGTTGCTGTTTTCTAGGCATTCTATTCATCGCATTGTAAATGGTGATGTGCATTATAGGTGTGCAGCTTTTTGAGAGGTTGAGGGATTGAGATATTTTGTCAGCGTACCAGTTTGTGGGAGGAATATGAGACATGTGGATGGCAGTGAGAGATCGTGCCTCTAGACCTTGATGAAGTCTTGGTGAAACATATTTAAATAAGCACAGGGAGGTAGGGTAATGGGCAAAGTAACAGGCAGCTCCATCTGAGCAAGTACACAGAACAATCTCAGCCCTGCACCCAGGTAGGGCCACCACTATGCCTTCATTTGTTACTCAAGCTCCAACCACAGAGTGTTTGACAACTTTGTGTTATGATGTTGGCTTGGCTTTGTATTTTTAATTAACTTTGGATTTTTTAGTGGTTTTGTCATATTACTGTCTGAGTTTGGTAGGTAGGATTAATTTGAAAAGAGTTTACTTGTGTGGTCCTCGGGGTAGAATTTAGCTTTAAGCATGTTGTTAGCCAGCCTGTAGACTGTTACTTACTTAATAATATCATTGGGAAAATACTAGTAGTTTTATATTTGGATGACATAATTGGAAGAGCAGATTAGTGGTTGCTACTTTTAAAAGACTTAAGGTCAGGATGCCTTTTTTCCAGGTAATGAGATAAAAAGATACAAATCTTTCCTCAGTAACCCAGTTACAAAATTAGAAACCATTGGCTAATATGTATTTTGTTGAATTTCCAAATGGAAGGATTTTCATTTGGGCTTTATATTGCTAAATGCATTGGCTTTGGTCTGCATTGGAAAGATGCTTATTTTACCGTATCTTTCCCAAGGCTACCCAATTCAGATTTTGTTTCATTCAAATTTGCATCCTGAAAGTTGAAGTTGGAGTTTGAAATGGGAAAGTGTTTTTGAAGGCAGAATTGAGTTGTGAAGGTGAACCCCTCACATACTTCTCAATAAACAGGATAAAATTCACCTACATGAGTTGGTGGGTAAGAAAACCAACCTGGATCACTGGGTAGGACTACTCAGTAAAGCAATGAACTGCTTGCTTAGAGAAGCAGCAATGTCCCCATTGAGAAAAACGTGTGGCAAGATGATAGAGCTACATAATATCAAACAAATGGGTCAGCTCAATGCCCCCAAATTAAATTCTGTGGGGGAAAAATATTGAGCCCGTTGTCAGTGTTCTGTTACGCTACTGGCAAACTAAATTCGTCATCGTCGTCATTGCTGTTGTTTCTCATTTTCAATTGCACAGCCTTATTCTCATAATTAAACTCTGATTCATTTTCTCTTTGGTGTTAGCAAACCCCAACAACAGAAATGGCATCTGTGTATTGATAACCAGCATTTACCCTGGCAGGAGACTAATTAGATAGGCTGGTCTCAGACATGAATCCTACCATCTGATATTTTCAGTGAAAGAAAGAGTATTAATTCCACTTCCATTCTCCTCTTCACAAATCTAGAAGCCCTCTTACTAAGAGCATCACATTTTTTATCTATAATCTATCAACTAAAAGAAAAGTGCATTGTGGGGAGGGCAAAAAGGGCCATGGGTGTGTGGGGGTTGGAGGGTGGGAAAGTCTTTTAAGACCAGATTGCAATTCTTGCCCCTTTCTGCTTCTGACATGAGATGTTAAAGAATCATTCATAGTGTTCACATTGGGTTAGGGGACACTGAACTGCTTTTCAGATCCATGATCAACCATCATTCTTCTAAGAGATTGGAGCTTTGCTGTTTCATTAACCGTGCAGTGAACACTAACAGTGTTTAATAAAAATCATTCTAAATTTCAAACTCTTTTGCCAGTGACCTGAATTTTGTGGCTCTTTAATTTGTATTAGACTTTGAAGAGGGAAGGGGGAGGCACAGGAAGCCTGCTATCCAGCCCCTGGCAGGACTCTACAGCATTAAACTTGCACCCACCTGCCAGCCAGCAGTCATTGCTGAGCTGCAGCATGCTGTGGGAAACCTCCTGAAGAATGCCCGAGTGGATGCTTTCAGCTGGGGCTATCTTGTTTCTACAGGAGGAATCATTGTTCTCCAGTGTCTACAATAGGAAGGCAGCTGCCATATCCAGAGACAAGTTCAGATGCTTTACCTTTTTTGTCTGACATCACTCATGTGGCTACAACATAGGAGAAGCATCCCTGAAAGTAGAGCTCAGAGTGGTGACAACGGGTAGCCAAATGTATCCCAGATACATAGGCCCTTCAGTTGTTCTGCAGTGCTTGTGAAACTGGGGGCAAAGGGCAGGAAGCACAATGGAAGAAACCCCAAAGAGGTTGAAGTGATGCCTGCTATGCTGCCCACACCAAAAGCTGGCTTCCTCTTTGGTTGGCCTGCTGTGCAACCAGTGGTATGCTGGTAAAATGTTTCATGACTCTGAGAATAGAAAGCACCTGATGTACAGCATTTGCCAATTTCCATGGTAAATACTCCCATCATGGCTGATTTCATGCTACCAACTGTGACGTCAATGAACACAGAGTAGGGAAGAGATACATACAGTAGGTTCTGGGATCCGGGGGAAAGCCAGCTCCAACACACTACTGGATGCAAGTAGTCAGAGAATTCCAGTTTCACGTATTTGTTCATGTGGTCACAGGCACATAAATCCCCATGCAGCCTTCCCCCATTTCAATGACTGAAATTTTTACATTGTTTAAAAATATGAATTAATTATCTAGTAATGTAGATAATGATGAGATCCTAGAAGAATGGGCTGCCCTGGAGGCCTGGGTGTTAAGCTGGAGATAGCTATAAAGATTTATGAAGCTTTCTTGAGCCAAAAGGGCAGATGGGTCAGAGGTGGTGGTCTCAGGATCTCTCCATCCTCCTAGGTAAAACGAAAGTGAGCTAAGTGCTGGAAACCATTCACAATGGGTTTAAAAAGGAGTGGGTGAGTGTTTATTTTATTATTACCATTCTTTTCATTTCCAAGTGGCTTTCTAATTTTTAAGAATAATTTGGATATAACATTTACAGGGCCTCCTTGGAGAATAACACAATCCCAGACTGAGTGTGTTGTTTTCTCATAATAGGAAAACTCGTCCCATATGGAAATTCTCTCATCTCTATCCACATAGTCATTCATAAAATTTTAACTGTAGCTATTAGGGATTTAAGTTTTTTGTTAACATGTTTTTTTAGTCAAAAGTATCTACTTACTGTCCTAGCTCTGCAAACTAAAATGTCTCCTGTATCAATTACATCACAGATATTTAGAAACCAAAATCATTCTCTTTTCCACACAATATGAAGAAACTAAGTCACTAATAAGGCATACACTGCATCATATTTTTCATAGAGAATGAGGCTTTTATCAAACACAGGTACATATACACACATATGCCTTTTTTGAAACTAAACTTCCTCATCATAAATCATCTTAGAGTAGAATAGAGAGTCTCAGAGGATCCATTCTTCTGGCCTGGGCATCTTCTGTAGTTAATGAGAGGTTAGGAAATGCTGAAGAACTTGCTCTCAGATTTTATTTTTCCTTCAAAATTTCCATGTTCTGTCTGGGCCTGTGTCTGTGATCAAATGTTAGCCCTGGAGGAGATCCATGTCTTGCTCTTTCTTTCTGGCTTTTTAGTCCTTCTGTGTAGTTTTTCCTGCAACTAGCACAATAGCAGGATTTGTGAGAGGGAAGTGCTATCCCCACACGATATTCCTGCAACCTTTGTCCTTACTGGAGAATGGTAGCATCTGGGTCTGGTTTAATTGACGTTGCGCTTACACAGACACTCCGAGCCTACCCCTCCCCACCCCTAGCTACAAAGAGCTAGAAATGTGTTTAACATCATCCAGTGTATCCCCTTTTGCAAAACCATCCTCACTAATCAATCATACTCACCCATGAATAGTATAAATGAGACCGATTCTGTCTCAAGACAATTTGTCAAATAGTTTTCTTCCTGGATGATTCCAGTCTCTGGATAGTTGAGAAAGAGAAATGTCTAAGATGAAATCCTTCACATTTATTCAATTCTACAAATTGCTGTTTTTATCCCTACTTTCATTGGAATAGTGCTTCTGAAGATTGCTTGATGTAGTGTTGTCTTCAATAAAATTAATGTCACAAGTGAGCCTCATAAAGATACCATCTTCAGATGTGCTCCTCGGGATCAGAGTTACCTAAAATTCTCCCCCTTTGTACATTTGGTTAGCTGAGTGACATTTTCTTAGGATCCTGCAAAGGAGATACTGGCTTCTTTTCTGTTTTTGTGATGGTGGTGCTTGTGGCTGTGACTGTGGTTGTTATTACTTGTTTTTCTCTCTCTCTGGCTCTGGCTTTTGCTTCCCTGCTAGTGTTCTTGCTCTCTCTAAACAAAGGAATAGTTGAATTAAATGTGAGCTTCCAAACTGTACTTGTCCATGCTTTCAAAACTTAACAGATTAATAAAAATGGATGTATCCTGATTTAAAATATGCCACCTGGAAAGTTATGCTGTACTATGAAACCATGCTAATATAATGACTGCATTATACATGGCAGTATACATGTTAGTCTGTTGAATTCATTTGTCCAGTTGTATAACTTTGTGAAGCAGTGTTTTGACCTTTGCTACATCATTTTGGAACAAGTGGAGTGGTTGCAGGCAGATGAGACAGTGTTTATATCAGGATTTTTCAATGACTTTAGTTGGAGGCCTGGCAATGGAAAATACATTAGATGTTGTTATAACCATATGAACAACAAATCTCTGATAAAGAAATTTCCCAGAACACTTCAGTAAAGACCTTTTAGGTTCATGTTTTCTTTTTTCTTTACTCCTTTTTTTTTTGGAAGGGGGGTTGTTACTATTGACTGAAGAAATATTTTAATTGTGATTTATCATGTATCCCTCTTCCTCTTCTCCCTGCCCCCCTCCCTCTCTTACTGTGATTTTGAAATCTGGAGTCTTTGGTAAACCTGCATTAGACTGGTCTATAGACCAGGAATGAAATCTAGGCAAACATTAATGGGTTTCCAAAAAGCACTCCATGTTCATTGGGCCCTTCTACAGCCGACAGTAACAAATGGTAACAAGGATAGAGGTAGTTTATGAAAAGGGGAACTTTTATAGTATCCTCTGAGACTTAATGCAGTTTAACCAATGACTCTACCTGTTTTTCCAGCAAGTAACTTGACTGAGACTTGCAAAATACCCCTGAGAGTCACCAGGGATGTCTTCTGCCTGGTTGATAGTGTGTGTTTGCTTTGTATCCAAGAGGCACATTCATGTCTTGTGCGCTCCTTTGAAGTATTTCCTAACATTGTTATTAGCCTGTATATAAGAACCAGAAAGATAATCTCAACATGCTGTAAAACAAAGTGTGACTCTATAACTTTTCTCTTGTTCTCAGAAAAAAGACATTTTCATGCGTATTTTAACCAGAAATTTGTATATTTAAATGTCATGGAAATATTTATTGAGTAACTGGGATACAAATGGAAATTTAATTGTCATCCTATGCTTTGTGCATTGAGGTGCTCACCAACACCGTGTCTCTGGGCCATTGTAGCAAGCCATAGCTGCATAAATAGAACACGTCTGTGTGTGTGCGTGTGTGTGTGCATGCATGTGCAACATGTCTGGCTTGCTGCCCTTCATGGGATTTTAGCATTCCCTTCTTGAAAAACATTGTTTTGCAGTTCCAGGGGGCCATGCTACATTGGTATATGAATGCAGTGATTTGGAAAATGAAAACTCCTTTTCTCTTGGAAGCTTTTGTCTTAATATCATGGCTCAACTGGCCTTTGAAAGGGAAAAGGCTTTACTGAAATTCAACTGAGTTTCCAAGAGAAAATATTAGGTCAAGGCTCACAGGAGGGAAGATGAAGGCCACCTCAGCTACAGCATCATGAGCTGAGTTCAGCCCTTAGGATTGCAGTAGCTTGCTTCAAGCTACAGCTCAGATCCCTGGGGCCCACTTCCGGCCTGGGCTCCCAAGTGAGTATAGAAGAACCATGAGGAACAGCCTGGTCTGGCTCCTAACAGAAAATTTAGAATAAAACTGGGCCTGCCTCCAGGGAAAGATCCTTTCCCCTACTGGGGGCACTCCAAGTGCCCATTAAATGTAATGATCATTTAGAAAGTGCCCCTTCGGCTTTAACATAATCTGATTAGTCTTTTGAACCACTTTTCCTTGGGTACAGGTTTCCAGTATTCATACTCATTGCAGATCCACCAACTGTCACTGTTCTTAACAAGCATGCTCGTCTCGTCAGATTTTCAGTAAGTTCTGATGATGTTCTGTATAGACCAGGGTAACTGTTCTAACATCGATCACTGAATGAAATGTTATTTGGTTTTTCAAAACTGGTTTCATGTGCTTTATATATGTATAAAACTGTATCTGCCTGTGTGGCTTTGCATTTCAAATGTGTGGCACACAAGCATTTTGTTGGTGCTTTGTTCTCAGTACAGTAACTCTGTGTACAAACATTTTAATGTGGTTTTGTTGTTTTCCAACAAGATGTCTCTGTAAAAATGATATTGGCTAAGCTGGTGCGTTGGTTTCTCTCATAGAGGCATTAACTATACTGCCAATGTCTTGAATTATTTAAAAATGCAAAATAAAATTTTTATGAAAATCTCATTTTACACATGTAGATTATTCTGCTTACAGACATGCCTAGTGTGAGTACCTTGATACCACCACTTTCACATTATAATCCATTACCAAGTTCCCACTTGCCTCAGCTATAAAACTGAGAAAATAAGTTTCACAAAGCCAATTCATTTTATAAGAGGGACACTTGCACCATCATTCTAAGTTCATTTAAGAGAAAACTGTAAAATTTTTAGTTATCTTCATTTCTAGTACACAGGAAAAAAAAAAACCTAGCCAAGTATGAGGTCATAACTGTACTAGTTGTTTCAGAGGAAATGATAAAACTAGACTAAAAACTTAAAAGTACAGCTGACAATGGTCATTTACTACAGAGACAAGCAGCCACTAGGCCGAGATGGCAATGTAGGAACAACTTCAGATCATGATAATGATTGGAAGTCATCAGGAAAAGGCTATCTTAAGTCTACTCTTCTTACAAGGCAAAAACCCATGTCATATATTTGAGAACTAATGTTAAACATTTTCTGGACACTCACAGAGTAGGTTTCAGGAATCTAGAAATTATATATATATATGGAATATATTCTATGGCCATGAAAAGTGCGTAATTGCAATATTGAGACTGCACAGCACAGAGCACCTGTCAGTAAACACATTAACAATCAGCTTGGCTGAATGTCTTGCGAACAAATGAACTCCATTTGGCTTGGCCAGATATGGCATTGTATAATCATAACTGTACTCCAAGTATGAATGCTAGTGTAGCAAACTGTGGTTAAAACTGATAGTTGTAACACTGCCACTGAGAATTCCAAATCCTTTCCAAAATTTGAAACCCACAATATTTCTACATATGACAAATTTTCTTGTGAGACAGTGAAGAAATATTTGATCTGAGCAAATAGAGCTAAATGGATTATAAGTCTATTCTCAAGCGATCAAGTTGTTTTCTACTTCTTTCAAAAAATGCAGATGCCATAAATTATGACCATGCTTAGCTAAAAGTATGCCTGCATGCGGAGAACTAAGAGGAACTCTGCAGAATGACATTGTTAGAAATGAGAATGCT